ACTTCAGTAATCATAAGTGTAGCTTCAGACCCCAAGCTAGAGCAAACCAAAAACTAGACTCTTCAGTAAAAATATGAAGTGATTTCTCCTGATGACTTGGAGATGCAGGATTTCAGACTTGTGCAGAGTAGTTCTTCTCTATAAACCTAATATTAGCTGTTCACTAGCAGCTGTACTCCTGCTCCAAATATTCTATCTGCAACTTTAAACTTTCTTTTTACGCTGTGCTTAAGAATGGAGAGACTCAACTCTTGGGAAGTGAATGAAATAGGAATTTCTTTTTTTGTTGTAGCACTAGGTCATATTTTATGCTCCTGAGCCTTGAAAGACCCAGTAATAGAGTAGGTACTTCATTCCCTCTCCTTTCTAATCCTAACCCAAACTATAAATTTAGTAAACGGAGCCATCTTGGGAAAAATCACTCACATTGACTCACCTTTTACCACAAGTTTACAGAAGTTCTATAAAAGGAAGAAAATGAAATAGGAGCTACTTTCCTGCTCTGACATATTTTATCAATTTGCATCACTGCCAAGATTAGGGGGAGGAAAGAAACTTAGGAGTCACTGTCTTCTTCCTGAATCATTCTTTACCACTCTAAGCAAGTTCTGTGGAATCAGCAGGTTCCTGCTGTCCGTGACCCTGAGCACAGGACTTAAATTGGGATTTAACAGTAAATCAAATACTACCAGCCTCTGCCTTGATTGAGGGGCTTTAGTCAGCAGTAATTTTGGTAAATGTAGTTTTTAACAGACTATTCTGTTTAACCAAAACCCAAAGGCTCCCAAACTTGCTCGCCAAATCTAAGTTTAGGAAATATAATGGCCCTACTTTCTGATATAAGGGAGTTTTAAAATTAATCCATAACAAATCAATGTCTTTAGTTTTGACCCAGTCCTCATCCTGTTTTTAAGGGTAATGCTTAGTCAATGTTTTTATTAGATTAGATAAAAAACACAGAAAGCATTCTCCCTTCCAGGATCATCATTCAGCAATGACTGATTAACTTTGTGGCATTCAGAATTTCTCAAGACCTTCTCTGTAATCTTAATTTAGGCTTAATGAAAGATTCCTAGTTCAGGTGTTGTAACATTAAAAATTACTCTTTGTTTATAAAAACAGCATTTTATAACAGATCCAGCACTCTGGTAGATACAACACTTTTTTCTAGAGCTGGAGCACTAATGCACAGGTCAACATTAGTGAAGGGACTAAGAAAAACTCTTTCTTCTGTTTCCACAATTCATTCTGCTTCAAAACAGGCATGTTTGGCAGAGGAAAGCCCTTTGGTTATTGTCCTCTACAATTTCCAGTCTTAAGACAATCTCCAGGGAACAATCTCTGGACAAGAAAAAACATGATTTTTTTCATACTCAACCTTTTACAAAGTGCAAATAATACAAGAGGAATATCTTGTTTTTCTGAAGTTTACAACATCACTCTTGGTGAAAGATAGACTCCCGACATCTTAGTCTAGCATTCAGATTAAAGTATAAAAATCATACAAATTGCAGATAGAAGTGTAATTCTTCCAGCTTTGAGTTATTTTTTTGTCACAGAAAGATCTTTGGTGTGAAACAGCACAATGAAATAAACAACAATGCAATCATATTGTCACCACCCTGAGTGCACTATGTGCCCTGATCTGTCTCAACAGAGATCCTCAGCTTCCATCCATGGGGCATACTCTTTTGGCCTGTATTCTGGCTGAAAAGTAGGTTCTGAGCTGAGAAGTAGGTTCTGGCTTCTGCTGTCCTGACTTGCTGGCTGTACTCTTGGGTGGGTTTGCTCTGCCTGACTGCTGGGCTGCCAGCAGAGCCTATTTCTGCCATCACCCCTGCCCTGCTTGAATACCATGGGGTTGGGCCCTGTTGCTGCAGTCACCCCTGGCTCTTCGGCCCTTGGTGGCCAGCTCTGCTCTTGCTGTCCCCTGACACTCTATGCTCAGCAATCATAATTTAATTCCTTCTTGTCTCATCCTTTTTGAGGTCAGTGAAGTGTCCGAGTAGATAAAAGTTAAGGCCAAATGAGGAGTGAGTGCAAATAGAGTTTTACCCCTAATGGTAACCCAATAAGTGAGTGCTGAGTGAAGTATATGGTGATTTTCTCCTTCTGAAGCTTATCTTCTAGCAGATTCAGGGAACCTGAAGGAGTTCTGCAAGGAGGTCTCTAAGTCTGTGCTGCTCCTTTGCCTGACCTCCTTCTGCACTCTGCCCTTAGTTAACAGCAATCTAACCTGAAAAAAACCCTAGAAGAGTTATTATCTTTCCTCATTTGCCTAGCTCGTGCTTCTCAACATAGTATTAACTGTGCAGAATGTACTTTAAATAACCCTGTGTTTAACTACAGCACAAACTTCAAGCTAATAATATACCTCAACAGTAATAATTAATCATAATATCTAATAATAATTTTGCAAAACTCAGGTGTGTGTGTGTGTGATCCAGGTCTCAATTTTGAGACATGCAGCTGTGTGATCTTGTTTCAATTTTATTAAAAGCAAAAAAATGAACCTTTTGTAAGAGTGTTCTGTTCTGCAAGGTAACAAAAGCAAAAACCAAGTCAGAAGTGAAATCACTTGAGTCAATAATAGCAATAGCTCAGGAGAAAAATACTGGCCTGAAGGAAAGATATAAAATTCTGAGAGAAATCATAGAGAGCAGAAGAACAGCAATTTAGTAAGATCAAGGATCATTCTGCTATAGGCAATAACTTGACCTTATACTTGCCATCTGGCTGATGACTGCTGGTCAGCAAAGAGCCATTGGTGCCTGCTTTTAGACTGTGAGTATTACCTCTAGCTCCAATTATTTTCCACATATAGAAGATAGATCTCTTGTGCTCATTAGTTTTGTATAATCATACTTACAAATCCCCTTTTTTAACACAGTTAAAGGTGCTCAAATACAAGTGGTCTTCTAAAGAAAGAGCTATAAGTCTCTTAAATAGTAATCAGGACACCAAGTCTAAGAAAAACCCATAACAGAATATACTATAAATCATTTCTCTCTGTAGTATCTGGACCAATCTTCTGTTAAAAAGGGGTGAAAGAACTTGAAATAGAGCCTTTCTGTCTATAAAATTTATGCTTATGACAGCTGGTAATCTAAATGAGGGACCTAGTTACACTGTTATGCATTAGAGAAAAATAATGACTAATCTTGTCTTCTGGAATTCAGCACTTTCCTGTCTCAGGGATGTTGCATGACATTGCCTGAGGGCAGGTTACAAACAAGGTTCTTCAGCCCCTGAATTCCTAATCCTAATCCTAGAAGCAGTTCTTTACTGATCTTTAAGACATTGCAAGATCCAGTATTAAGTATTTCAATTCTTAGACTACTGGTACAGAGTGACTCTCACAGGATTCACAGATAGGTCACAGGACTGCTCTTTGGTACAGCAGACTGAAGATGATACCACAAGGCTCCTGATATGGCACTCAGTGCTTGTGTTCATTCATGTGATCCCTAACACTGCAAACTTTAGCCCTTATCCAGACTGCACCTAACCTGTTTAACTTCAGCTTGGCCACTCAGCTGAGAACTAAAGCCTTCCCTCCATTCAGTGTGACAGAAAGTGAGTCTGAAAATCTCAGAGTGCTATGGAAAGGGGTTGCTGCTTCTGTCAGAGCAGACATTGGTGTTTACAGACAAAACCTGTTAGTTTTGAAGTTAGGTGGTAAATTCTAGCCCAACAGTTCACTATTACTGACAGTAAAAATGAAGAATACCTGATTAGTTTTGAATTTCATGCCTTTTGAAACTCCTTTTATATTTCTTTTGTAGATTTTTTTGGGTTTGTCACATCAAACAGTGACATGAAAGCCTTGTCACATCAGTCAAACTTGCAAAATTCAAAATGGGGAAGTATCTCTCTGCTCCTTTTATCAGATCAGTGACATTAAGCTCTTCATAAGATAGCTGCACACGTTGGGCTAATGTGGTGTTATCCTGATTTTTATTTTGATTTCAAAAATTCACAACTTATAAAAAAATTAATTATTTGTACAGATTATACCTGAGTCTGGTATTTTCAGGAGTTCTTGACACTAACAAAAGTAATTTCCCATTTATAAGTTACACATACTGGACTAAAGAAGGTAATTCAGTGACAATGTGCAGAGTGCCCGGTGAGTGCCACTGCAATTCCAACACTTTCCCTGGGCTATAGATATTATTGCACTCGTTAAGGTATTTTATTTGAGAAAAAGGTTTGGAATAACAATAGTCCAGGATGACAAATGTGTATTTTCTACCATCAGGCTCTCAAAGGTTGACAAGGATACAGCCACACAACATGTTGTCGTTATTATGATTTTCATATGTGATCACTTTATTGATATGCCTATTGATTTCCAGTTCAGAAATGTCTGAGCAAATGTACTTTTATTTCCATATAATTTAGGCGCACAACAATTTTTTAGCATATCAATTACTATTCTAGTCTAAACATACGTATTTGTTTATAAATAGATTTATTTCCCATATTTTTCTATTCCTTTAAAGAAAAATTTAGATCCTCATAGCTAAAGAGTGCAAGTTTTCACATGTGATTCTAGTGTTATGCATCATAAACAGTAAATAGATGAAGTGAGCATTTATTGAGCATCTTGAATTCTTTAGTGGTTAGAGACTTTATTGAGAGATATAGGGAAATAATTCAAAGCAACTGAAACATGGATTAATCTTATTGTTCCTCAACAATAGAATAAAAATTCTTTTAGGGCAAGAATCGTCTTTTTCTCCTCTGCTAGTACAACATCTAGTGCAATGACAGGTACCCACTTAGGGCTCTGAGGTGCTTTTAAATTATAAATGGTAATCATAATAATCTTCCAATAGATGTAGTAGATTTAATAAACCATTCTCAATGCAAACTCTAATTTAGAGATGTCATTATTGCATACACTTTGAAAAGTCTATTGAGGAAATGTTGAGTGACTAAGTCTAGGAAAAATCTGAAGGTTTAATTAAATTTTATTGGCTTCTCATTCTTGACAGTGACTTCTATGCCAATGCAGTGCCTAAGAAGAGGGCATCATATCCCCCAAAAGAGACTCAACAATGAATTCTGTGTATCAGTGAAGGGTTCTTTGAGAGAGTTAATCAACACAGCTGTGAGGAATGGAGAGTTCCCTTTCACTGAAATGGGGCCCACTTCTGAGAGTGTGGCTGACACAATCTGTTCTGTAAGTGTGGTAACTCTATAATGATTTCCCTACATCATGGACATTAGATACTGCAATATTAATGAATTTTGATGAATGGTGGAAAAACCAGTACTGAAAAATTAAAACCTTAACCCTCTGGTAGAAAAATTAATTCCTTGAGAAACAAATAGGTATAGATATATGGTACTGTATATATATATATATACAAATATATATACATATACATATATATATAAAAGAGTGAATGTTTATGTGTGCATAAAATGAGTACATATACACAAGAGATACATATTCTATCATTCATTCTCTCTCATAATCTCCATTTCTAAAAGACCTAGAACAAAGGTGATTATCTGAAACTGATTTGTATTTTTATTTCTTTTTAATTATAAAGACTACTTCAGAAAAAGGAAGAATCAAATGGTGGTTTGAATTGAAAGAAACTTTTAAAGATCATCTAGTCCAACCCCTCTGCTATGGGCAGGGCCATCTTTAACTAGACCAGGTTGCTCAAAGTCTTATCAAACCTGGCCTTGAACAATCCTAGGGATGAGGCATCCACAGCTACTCTGGACAGCTGTGCCAGTATCTCACTACTCTCAGCATAAAACATTACTTCTTAATACCCAATCTAAATCTTTCAGTTTAAAGCCATTGCCCCTTTCTGTCAGTAAAGATCTTGACAAAAAGTTCTTTGTCTTTTAAATCTCTTTTAGGTGCCTGGAAGGCTGCTAAATAGTCTCCTCAGAGCTTTCTTTTCTATGGGCAGAACTGCTGAGCCTCCACCACTCTGAATATTCCCAACTCCCCCAGCCTTTTCTCACAGAAGAGATGCTTAATTATCTTTGTTAACACTCTCTTCATCATATTTGTCCAACAGGGCCACCAGGTCCTTCTCTGCCACCCTTCTTTCCACCTAATTTAACAAATGTTTCAGTAACACTGGGTCAGATTCTAAGCAGTACAAGACATACCTTGTAATAATATTGCTAGAAGCTCACTGGTGCTGCTTCCAAAACCCAAGAAAGTAAAAAGATACAGCTTTCTAAATTTTAATGATTATTCCATGTTAAGAAGATGATAATACAGTTGAAATGGTAATAAATTAACCTGTGTCCCTGAAACTAATTTAATCTCAAACTGTGTCTACCCACCAATCCATAGCTGGCAAAAATAAAAGGACAATGTAGAATTGTGGTATTTAATCACAGACTTGGCTTACAAATATGATGCTCTATTTCAGTTCTTTTCACAAGTCTTGGTTAATAGAAACTGTCATGAGAAATGACTGCTATTTGTTGTGGCCAGCCAGATGGCTGGGTAAATTTTTCCTGGATGTGGCCTGGCTGTAGAAAGTAGTTATTTTTGTCCAAAAAAGAGAAATCATTTTCTGTGTGGGGTGAATATCCACATAGGAAGAATCTGAAGGCTTTTATTTAGCATGCCAGTGCTTATTCACTTCAGTAATCTTGCTGGATGCAATGGCAGCATGTGCAAGATTTACTGCACGAAGGGCTTTCATCTGGAAAAGGAGAAACGTACACGGGTGGACAACCTCACTTTATTCTTTCCTTCAGCATGGGTAGAAATTAAAGAATCTTGTTTTACTTAGCTGGTGTAGGCAATGTAAACAGGAAAATAAACAAAAAAACCAGAATAACAAACCAGTAATCAAATTTTAGAACAAAATTAGCTACCTAAGAAGTAGAGTTAGTTGAATAGCAATGGAGGAGCGAGGAAAAGGTAATGTTTCACTGCAGAGAAGAATTTTCTGGCCCAGAAAACCACTTCAGTAACCTTTTTTCTTCACATTAAAGGAACAACAAATAATTAAGCTTCTAATTTTCACTCAGTTGGTTGCCTTCCTGAAGTTTAACATTTTTCTAAAATAGAAGGGGGAAAAAAAACTAAATCAGGATAAAACAGGAAAAATGGAAACATCTTTGGAGATCTGACACATCTTTCAAAACATTGCTTGTAAACAGGACACAGCACACAGCATAAATTGAAGTAACACAGGCAACAGCAACTTTTCCTGTTATTTGACCTCTGATTTGGTACTGGTGGTAAATATTGTTGAAAGTAAAGTACACAAATTCCCTCAGAGTTACCTCTGAGTAATTTTCCAGCACTATTATGCAAATATTGGTTTCTGCTCATTGCAGTTTGTATTGGTGATATATGCAAGCTGAAGAACATCAGTGCTGAGTCATCTGCCTAAGAGTCCCACACTATAAATGTGATGGATTGTAACATTTTGCAGAGCACAAAAGGTAATTGAGTGGAGTCAATTAGGAAAGTAGGAGGGCTTAGTGAAGGAGAGGTGAGCAATCTGTAAACTACTGTGACATCTTTTTTGGCTGTGTTTTTCAAAACAGCTTAGTAGGCCATCTAGCCTTTAAATTTAAGGGATAATTGGAAACAGCTACTTTGAAAATTCTGGCCTTATGAAAAAATTAGAGGTCTGTTATTGTAGAGAAAGGAATTTTCAGAGCAATGAAGGTTGCAAACAAATGCATTCCTTAGAAATGTGAGATGCTTTAAGTGATATTAAACCAAGAATTTTATTCTATTCAGAATTTATTGAATGCAGAGTCATTCATTACAATAGTTGCCATACTTGCAAGTCAAAAGCAGTACTTTTTGCCTCATTAATATGTATTTAGAAAGCAGATCCTTATAACAAGTTACTTCTCTTTTATTAGGCCACATTGTCACTGTGTTGTTGACGGATTCTTTACTCTCCTGACCAAAATAATATGCCAGTTACTTAAACAGTCCTAGTTTTCCTCAACATGTTTGTTTTTGCAGGGACAGGAGCTGGAGTCAAAGATCCCTCTAAGTTCCTTCCATCTCAGCACATTCTGTGAATTTATTGAGAAGACATGGCTGGGGTCACAAAAAGAAGATGACTGACTGAGCTCTCCAGAACTTTCCTTAAGGATTTCCTTAGCGCATTTCTAATTAGAGAAAAAAGATAACGTGACAAAATTCATCTTACATTTTACAGGTATTGCTTCACACCAGCTGGTTTTCTAAGTTATTACTCTGAAAGGCACTGTTTTAGCACTGTCTTTTTCATAACACTTCAAATAAAGCTTTAATTTTAGGAGGTAATTGCAGAAAATCTTGGGAGATCTAGCTGACAAGCTAAAAAACAAAACCAACAAAAGGGCCGTAGTGGATAGCCACTACTGATTATTAATAACCAGTACTTTTAAAATCTAAATGAGGACACAAAATGGCACGGGACTGATTCCCATATAAAAAGTTATCTGTCAAGGAGCCCAATGAGAGGTGAATTGAGGAAAGAAAAACATTCTTTAGGCTGAAATAAAGAAGTAATTTTATTCTATGCACTAAGTACATCCCTTTTGAGTTTACTTAAAGAAAATATTTAAGATATGAATATGTCACCAGCAGAAAGGAGGTGCCTTGTCTTACTCTTTATATATGGAAAGCTTACTTGATTCTTTGCTGGCAAACACATGAAATAATGTGGAAAATGGCATCTTAATACTTCAGAAAACTGCTAAAGTTATAATAATTTTAAACATGGAGATAGTCTGCACTAATAACATTGCACACATATACTCATCTTGATAACTGGGAAAAACAATCCCCAATTCTGAGTACAGTCAGTCCTGGCACAACAGAATTTTTAGTACTCCTCAGAAAATACTGTGTGCAAACTGAAAATCACAGTGTCTGTATCAGGGAAAAGCAGTTCAGAACAAAAAAGCTTTGCTGTACTTATTTATCATTAATAATATCTTCATTGAAAAATTTCTATGCAAACTGTGATTATAGCTTTACAGATTAGGTATATTTTTATATAAGATTATATCTGAGAATAATAATCAGCCTTTGCGTAAGAATTATTAGGGTATGACATTGTATGTTTGTGAATAAAATTTTGCTATATTCTCTGCTGCTCTAGGTTGACTTTTATTTCATAAATATCTATCAGAAGAGAACTAGGCCAGGGTTTTTTCCTCTTATATATTTCAATATTTAGCTCTTAATTTTAATGCTTGAGTAGTAAAACCTTGCTGTGCACTATTATTACTATAATTGTTGCTCCTGTTATTACAACTCTTGCTATTATTATTTCTCATTGAGTATTCTTTTTGTTACTGAATATATACACATAATTTATGTCTATAAAAATATATATATATATATATATATATATATATATATATAAATTGTCACCTACTCTATTGAAATAGTAATAGATACAATTCTTTTACTTAGTGACAGAGTACAAAAGCCAAGTATTTAAAGATAGCGATTTTATAAGATTTTCAAAATCTGAGCACAGAACCCTTGGAAGTCATTTCAGGATGTTTTACAATTCCCATCACATTCAACCTGAAAAAAAGGACTCTTTCAATGTAAATGACTTGCTGCCAAATCTATATCATTGTGTCCTTGACTGTTTTTACAAATCTGTTCTAAAGTACAGTAGGTGCATATTCTTTGACTTTTCTGGGTAAAAACAGAAATCTAAACAGCTCAAATGGGCAAAAATTATCAATCTTTATACAGGGTGAACTTGCACTGCTGGTAATTGAAGTTTGTTCTATACACAGACTGAAGGATTTAATCTCCTATATTAAATATTCATTAATAGAGGTATATTTTTCCTTAACATTTCTCATTAATGTGAGAGAAGAGGAGGAGACATAATGTAAAACACCAGCTTCTGATTGAAGTTAAAGTAGTAGATAAGAAGCTAGAACTAGATTTCTGTGTAAGCTAGTATTTAAACAAAATAAATATAAAATTATGTCTCAGACAAAATCTCGAATTGGAAAGAGATAGTGAACTTTTATGGTAGTTCTGCACTGGCATATGACTTTACACATGTAAGAAGACACAGCTGTTCAAAATTACCTCAGAACATTGGAAAACACAGTCCTCTACCATCTTCTTTTCTCATATTTTCTTGCTGTGATAATATGATCTGCTGTAGTCTTATTTTAGACTATATCACTGCTTGTGCACCAGTTCCCATAGTTCTTTTGCTTTGTGAGACACATCACTGTAGTTCATCAGAGAACCCATTTTCAATACTCCTTCCCCCACTGCTGCAAGCCCAAAGGAAATACAGCTGATGAGAAGTTATTGTCAGGTGGGTGCTCAGCTGGATTTGATCTTGGCCAATTTTGTTCTGCTTTTTTTGCTAATGACTTGGATAGTGGAAAGAATGACACTTTAAGTGTCATGCCTGACATCAGACTGGGCAGATTACCACCACATTCAAGGGCTGGTTCAGATTTCATTTACCCCTCGACATAAGATGAGTGGAAAGCTACACTTTCCACTTTGATTTAGATCAAGGCTAAATCAAATGCACAAATGGGGAACAACTGGCTAAGCCAATATTTGGGCAAAGGGTCTCTCACAAACTATGTGCCATAGACTCAGAGTGTTAACTTTGTCTCGAACCTTCTTCATTGATTGTTGAATAAAGCCCCTGTCTCTCAAGATGTGATGATTATTCAGTCTGCACAATTGCTTCATGTAGCTGAAAGAATCTTGGATATAATCCCAAAGTTAAGGCAATGTATCAGAATGGTAATAAGGTGAGCAGATGTGCTTATCTTTTTGTGTTTTTCATGTCCTACCCATACTGTTCATTTGAATGAACCTACTAATATTTTGTCTTCAAATTGCTTTTTGGTACTAAAAACAGGATAAATACAGATGAATTTTGACTACATCTACTGCAGTGTATCCAGTGCACCTTATACTTTTTCTAGGCACTGAAATCTACCCTCGTGCATTTAAACACCCTTATGCCAGTGTAGCTCCAATTAAAGTAAGAACGAGTGACTGACCTGTCCCAAACCATGCCCTGGAACTGCATGCAAAGATAAGGTAATATGGGAGCAATTTCTCCCCTGTGACCATGCCAGGAAGCTGGCATGGCTGTGTATTGTTACTGGTAATCGTGTCCAAGTGTTCAGCAGCACTCCTGGTTCTTACTTCATTTAGAGGAGGACTAGGATTGCTCCTAACAAGTGCAGGTTCTCATCCCACAGGGGGTGGGAAACAACTAGGGTTTACCAAGTACTCAAAGAAGATTGCCATGCTCTTAGGATTATGGGAATCAGGAATCTACAGACGACTTTAAGATGACCAGTTGGCAATGCAAATTGCCAAGAAAGAGGAAAAAATATTCTTTTTAAGATACTGGTCAGATCCTGCAGAAAACCATCCTAAAAATGAAATGAGAACGGACATCACTTTGGATCTGTTACAGAAAAATCTGAATCACTATTAAAAAGTAGGTAAACCCAGGTAATTTATATATATAAATTACATATATATATTACTAGGAATAAATATTTTCTAAGAGACCATGAATAAGTTGGTAAGTGATGGTAAGGTCTCAGAATATTTTTTCCACTGTTTGGTTAATTGTCTTAAAGAAAGATGTGAGCAAAATGTATCAGAGTCCAGGAGAGAGACTAAAGATAGCACAGGGATTTAAAAGATATGATCTATGAGGAAAGCTTGAAATAAGAGTATTTGTTCAGTCTAGGAAAGAGGAGGCTGAGTCATGAAATGATATTCTTGTGTATATCTGTATAAAAAGATAGTGAGCAATTGTTCTCTGTCTGCTGAGCAAGGACAAGATGGAATTAACTCCATTTGGATCAAGAATTATTTAAACTGAATACTGGGAAACAACTGTTATTAGGAAACAGTCCATTAGAGTAAGAAGGTTGTCTCTAAGAATTATAAGCGAACAGCTCTCTCAGTCTTCAGTGGATTTGGCCTCATTTCATGCTGCTGATTTTTGTCTTGGTCTCACTTCTGGACAGTTGTATGTCTATGACTCCATGGTTAAAATCTCACATCTGTTCCCATTCAGAAGTATGGGAATAGGAATAGGGGGCTTCTTTCTCTCCCTCTTCCCCCTCTCCCCCACCCTTATGTTGCTGTGTGAGAAATCCTTGTGGAATTGGTGGCTTGTCATAAAGGACATTTATTTTCTGCAAATTTCAACAGATTGAGAGGAACCCTACTGCAATCATAGCACAGTCTGTGTAGCAGGAGCAGTGCCTGAATCCCCTGGTAAATTCAGCTGTACTGCAGTTTAGACATGGAGGGTAATATAGGCAGTTTGTTGCTGCTAATTCAGGAAGCATAAAAATTTTTGCAGCCTGATATTGTACAAGGTAAATTTCAGTTTAAAATACTTTCCAGAAAGGCTCTGTTGCTTCAGTTTTAATTGGATACCAGGGTCTGTAAGTGTAGTGGATGGTGTGTGCTACTTTGAATCAGCTGAGGAAAGTCAGGCTTTCAATTGTCTCACTGTGACCAATAGGATCCATCATTTATTTTCAATTATGTCATGCCCACTGAGTTTTATGCTTTCAGGTTGCCAGTATTAGCAGTCAAATATTATTGTGTTTAATAGGAACTTTGCTCAAATTTTGCTTTTGTGGGTGCATGGAAGGGAATGACAGTCAGTACTAGGTTTTCTGACATAATAGGGCTTTATTCATTGATGCATTACTTTCATAGGAAGAATTGTTATACCAAACTTTTGCAAAACTTCAGCAAAAGTTGCTGGTATTTCCAGTACTGTAAAAAAATAGCAAACCAGGACTTTCAACAGTTTCTGGCCAAAGATGCTACATTCTTTATAATTAGGCTGTGTCATTCTGGCTAACAAGTTTCTCTTTCCAGACCTTTATATTTTGAAAGGATGGAAAATGGCTTTGCTTTGACCTTATCAAACCACGGGTGATCTCTACAACAGGTTGCTGCGCTGATCATCTGCACTGGTTTGTGCTTGGAAAGGCTGCAGAAAAAGAGAATCTCTGCAGTAAAAACTTCCCTCTTTGCTGTCTCTCTTCGTTATTGTTGTTGTTGTTTTTGTTCAGATGGACTTCCACTCTGATACCAGGTTAATTGGGTGAGGTAGTGCTCATTCTGAGATAACTCACTGCCTCAACTGCACTATCAAGCCACTGTTTTGAGTGATAGTTTGCTGCTGTTCAAAGTGCCCTCTAACAAGCTCTATCCTTTCATACACATCCCTAGTTTAAAGGGTTGGAGGAAACTCAAAAGACTGACATTCTTCATAAAGTGCAGCAAATCTGAGCTTTTCATAGGAAAGCACTGCATATCAATGATGGAAAATGTTAAAAGAGAAAAACTGAAACTGCAGAGCTGTAAATACTTAGAGAAGACCACTGATCTCATCTACTGTTATGGTGCTTTAATGAGTCAGTACATAATGTAGGCAGAAATGTCTAATTTAACATTGTCTCATCAGGCTGTGGGAAGCCATCCAGATGACATCATTAAAACACAGCAGTCCTTATCTGGGCTGAAGGTTAAACTCTTCAAACACCTAAAACAATTTTGTGCCTGTGGACATGTCGTGAACCTTTAAGGTAAAAGTTATTGGATGTAGCTTTGTCATCTCCAGTGCTCAGCTCCTACTGGGTTGGATGGTTGGAAGAGAATGATTCTTCTATGGATCGTTCTTCTCCCATGCCTTTTTTGAACAGCGTAATTTCTGTTCAACCTCAGCTTAAAGCAACATTTCCTCATGGGGAGACCTGCTTCCTTAGTCTTATGATGATCCAGTAACTTACAGTATAAACTGGTCCCTCAGGCTCTTGAACTAACACAGCAGATAAATAAACAGTCTGGCCAAATTTTTACTTGGCCCCAGTTATGATAGATTTTTGCACATACCTGGCTTTTAAGGTATTGACACCAAGTTAATTTGTGTCTCATAAGGTATTATTCATATGGTCATCTAAGCATTGCTGGCCTTGCAAGAATCTGTTTTCCAAAATGTCCTAATACTCATCTCCATTATCTGTGAAGTCCAACCATTTTTCACAAAACTCATTTTTATCCATCTGCCAAGCTCTGATGTCCCTTTTGGAATTATCTGTAACCCTCATCAGATTAATCTCTGACATGTCCAGCAATTTCTCTTGTCATGTGCATAGTTTTCCACATCCTGTTCATCCAGCTTCACCTCAGGGTAGGACAAGGCCAACTGCCTTGTCTTTTTTTCTGCCAGACTAATATGGACATAGTGAGTATTTTACATGTCTTGTGCAATCAATATGACACTTTTTTTTCAATGGAAATCAGGGAGAAAGTGAATGCGAGAAGAAGAAGTGTGTATATATATGTGTGTGTGTGTGTTTGTGTGCTGTGTTCAAGAGGAAAATCTTGGAAAACCTTACCATATTTTACAGGGTTAAACAAAAAAGGAGAGAAAAAAGAAAAAAACGAGGTCTCGGAAAGTAACAGAACAGAACTAACATCTAACAATGTTCTCATTAGCAAAATACCATTAAAAACTTTTCTATATATATATACAGGATATTAATTTTGACCATGTATATGTAGATATATCTGTATGCTAGTCTCAGTATTGGAACATTGAATTGACTGGGGTTTTCAGTAAGAAAACCTAATTTGTAGGGGAACTTGTACTGTGTTAAACTTTTATGAAATGCACATTAGGAACTCCTTGACCATACTGGTTTAGCTTGTCCCTCCACAGAAGCCTTTTTACAGCACAAGGTAGAACAATGACACAGCAGAGGTGGGTTGATCCCTGCAGGAATATGCTGTATAGAAGCTAATATACATCTGGGAGTTCCAAATGGCTTAAATAGCCGTTTCTCTCAAATCAGAACTCTTTCAAGTTACAAGTAATATTCATACCGGTAAAGCATAATCATATTGTTCTCATGGACTGTAGTCAGGTATGGGGTTCAATCTTGGTCATCTTGTGGTATCACAAATGAGTGTGATAAGATCTCTTAAAGAATCATTGGCAAAGCCATCTGCTAAACCAGTTTTAATATAAAAGCAACATCATGACAAAGTTTCTCAGATCATAGTGCAGCCTGGGCTGGGGATGTGGGATGCACCACCACCCGTGGGAGATACCCACTACCAGTTCAGTGGAAAGTGGAATCAAATATGTTATCTTTGGCAACTGAGCCGTATCTATTTCTTTATTAGCATCTCTTGTAATTTTTTTCCTGAATATAGGATACTTGAAAAAAGGGCAAGTCTCAGAATACACAATGATAATATTTTCTATTAACTGAACATTTATATTGCTAAAACATATTCATCCTCAGTTTGAAAACACATTATGATATTATGATATAAAAGTGCTCTAACTGCTTAATGATGTTCTACTCAGTCACAGAAATCATATCATAACTCTCTACTGTCCCTGGACACAGCTCATTAATTTCTAGAAATACTGTCTGAAAAATTTAAGTCATCCAAGTCTTTATCCACTTGCTATAAAACTCTGAAAGGGAAAAAATGCTTAGGTGAGAAGGGGCCTTAAAGATCCTTTGTTTCCAGCCACCCTGCCATGGG